CACAGAGTGAACACAAGATGCTGGGTGATTGACGCAGTTCACTGGCTTGATGGCTCGAGGAAGCCGAGTCCCAGACCCTTCGTCCTCATACACAGGAGGCAATCCTGCCCTTGAGGTCTTGGGCTGGCCTGTGGGTGAGCTAAACCTGACTCTACTGGGTTTAGACCAGGCCAAAGACCAGGGAGGATAGCTTGGACTTGGTTTGTGGTACTCCCACTGAAGTTTGCCACTGAACGGCAAAGTGGCACTGTCATCCCCCTGCCTTTTACACCTTCCATACAGCCCACCAGAGGGTGGACGTGGGTCCCTATACACCATTACCGTTGAAGGGTGCCCCAAGTCAAGACTCAACTAATCCTGCACAAACTGGGTATCTAATGGGAACCAGCAGTTAGCGTAATGGCTATGTCGCTGGATTCCCACATAGTTGACCGCAGTTCACATCCCGGACCCGGTGGCTTAGAACTCACGCCGGGTGCGTGTGCGTGCGTGCCCAAGATCCCGAGAGGAGAATGGACGAAGGGATTGCAGCGTGACCATCCCCCCTGGGGGGTGATTTCTCGCTTTCTGTCTCTATGTCTCTCTCTGTCTCTCTGGCGAGCGCATGCGCCCTATAGCGAAAACCTCTCAAAACAAAACAAAACAAAACAAAACAAAACTGGGTATCTACTGAACCAGAAGAGCCTCAGTGCCCTTTTCTGTTCTGTAGATAAATATGTACAGACAAGTAACAAATAGTAAGTATGAAAACTGGTTACTTTGTAATCAGCACTGTGATCAAGAAACCACTGGGTAGTCCCAAAGACCTTGGTGCTCCTTGGCCTGGCTTCTTTTTCTCAGTAGAAGTTATGAGGTGCAACTGTGTTGTCGTGAAGTATACTTTGTTTCTGCTCGTTGTTGTGTCGTCTTCCATTTCATTCCACTGTCTTCTATACCATAGGTGAGCAGGGATATTGGGGGGCTGTCTATAAACCTGAGGCTAGCCTCCTCGGTCCAGAGTCTGCCTGTCACCTGTAAAGCTATCTCTTGCTGCCCTGCAATGACACGCTTCTGCATTCTACTTCCTGCTTCATCATCCAACTCACTGTAGGCCTGAGCAGGAGCCATCCCAGGGAGTAACAACTGTCCGAGGAAGAGGGCAGAGGCCCGAGCCCTAACCTTAGCCTGCTACAACCAAATCAATGATACACTCAGGGTGGGGAGTGAAGCAGAGGGTTAGGGGGAGAATGTGTCCCCTTCAGGCCTGGAACAAACCCATCTGGGCAGTCACCACCATAAAGGCAGGTGATTAGGGCTTGTGATAGTGACTGTGACGGTGCAGGGGGAACACCACCTGGACGTCAGACATCTGGCCGCCTGGCAGAGGCAGGCGTGTGTAGGAGAATGAGTAGAGAGGAGGGCGGGGAGGGCTCTCACTCACAGGCAGTAACTACTATGGACCCACGCGTGCAGATGGCATGTGGACACTGAGCCTGTCAGCTGCTTAGGACAGGTGGAAGGGCAAAGGGGAGCAAGGAGTGGCTGAGGTGTAGCTGTTCATTGAAACAGGGGCTCCAGCATTGGGGTTTGGGGGGTGGCATGGGTGCTGGGGTAAGCAGAGTCACTTTCTTTCTTCCCCACAGCAACTCCATGGTAGGCACAGGGCAGGCCATGGGCAGCCTTAAAGACAGCATGTGGCATCCCCCATAGTTGGGATTTCCCATGACAGGGCCTGCAGGTGAGACGGAGACAATGTCCCTGCTACCTGCCCCCAGTCAGCCCTCATCAAGCCTTCAGGGTCCTCTGAGCTTTCAGAAAACTGCAGGGACATGGCTGGCACTCCACAGGGCCCAGGGGAGGAGGCAGAGTTGAGTCCATTAGCTCAGTGCTGGTCTCTGGAGAGCACGCAGGGGGATTATCCGTCTGCTTTGCTGCCTCCTGACTTTCCAGGACCACCCCTCTGGGACTCGATCCAAGGAAGTGAGTGATACCATCATTAGGCGTAATCCTTCCCCTCCTCCTCATGAGCCTCCTGTGCATGGGGTCCAGCCTGCTGGAGGATGCCGTGGGCTGGGAAGGCCGGGCCTGGTTTTAGCCTGGGCTCTGCTTTTGACTCAGAGCATGGCTCAGGCACGCCCTGTCCTCATCTGTAAAATGAGGATGCGAGTGCCTCTTGTTGGGGTGGTTGGGGTGCTTCTAGGTCTAGTGGCCGCTGACAGCATGTGGCCACAGGCAGACCCTGCCCCATCCCCGAATGGACCCACCCATCCAGGCACCATGGAGGGAGAGGATGATGACCTGGACTTGTCTTCAGGGGGAACAATAGCCAGGAAAGATGCGAGGTGTTAGCAAGCACTTGCAAAGCTCACTGAGCTGACTAGTGGTGGCTCTGGGAGGGAGGGAGAAGGGCAGGAGTGAGGGGGCTAAGGAGATGGTGAGGCAGAAAGGTGCATTTTCTTCTTTTTCTTTTTTTGGAGAGGTTTTTGTTTTTTTCTGTTTGTTTGTTTTTGTTTTTGTTTTGTTTTGTTTGCTATAGGGCAGGTGTGCTCACCAGAAAGCAAGAGAGAGATGGAGAGACAGAAAGGGAGAAATCACCCCCCAGGGGGAATGGCCACGCCACAATCTCTTCTCCTCCATTTTTCTCTCAGGATCTTGGGCACGCATGCACACACGCCTGGCGTGAGTTTAAGCCACCGGGCCCGGGACTCACCATCAACTATGTGAAAGTCCAGTGGCATAGCCATTATGCCAACTGCTGGTCTTGAAAGGTGCATTTTCTGAGCTCACAGTAAGAATAATAACAGCCACCATTTCTCAAGCTCTCACATATCCTTAGAGAACTAGGGTCTGTGTGTTAGACCCGCTCTTCATCCCGAATATCAAGGCCATATGACCCGATGAGGACAAAGTCCTGGGACTCAGGGACCCACAGAGTAGAGCCTGGTTTCAGTGCCAGGTAGAAGGTGACCGAATGCTCCCTGTCCCCAGCTGGCCCCCTGCAGTTGCCTTTCTTGATCCAGTGTCTCAGACAGTCACAGTGACATAGACCTGAAACTTCATTAGGTTCAGTGACTGAGAATATTGATCCAGGATGAGGTGTGCAAGGAATGGAATTTTCCCGTAACACTCCAATTTCTGTTTCTGGTTCCCATCCCACCAAGGTGGTAGGCCCAGGACTCCATGCATTCATGACCTGCCCTTCCTCTGGCTATGGAGTCTAGAAGCTCATGCAGGTGTTGGGGTAGGTTCTGTGTCCCCGCTTCCAAGGACAGGTCCTCTGGCACTTGGCCCTTGCTCCTGGAGCTGACCTGGATGTTGCTCACGTCTGCAAGGCCCTGCCAGCTCACAGCACTCTGCCTTGCACACAGCCTTGGGCACCCACCAACTCATCCTGCTGCGTCAGCTCTCCACTGGGGCATGAAACCTGGGCCTTTTCTTGCAGTCACTTATTTCCCAGGACCTGGCCTCCTCCCCAGTTCTTCCTGGGCCACAGGACACAGGCTTTCCTTTTCTTGGCTTCACAGATTAATCTGGGAGTTTGGCAGCCTTCTGGGGAGGATGTGTAGGCCACCTTTCTGGGATATACTGACAACTCTGTTTATACCCCCTCCTTCAATATTCCCACCCCCACTTCCTGTCCACAAGGGAGCTAGGACACCACTTACTCTGTATCCTCTTTATCGGAGACCACCAGTCCTTGACATTTCCCATGAAGTGTGGTTTTCTGGAATGAGATCGCTGGTTTCTCTGCTTCCTGCAGTTGCATCCCCTTTCTGAGGCAGCTAGACAGACCTCCATACTCTTTAGAACAAGGGCTTGGGCGAGAAAGGCCCGTGCAGGCTGTCCACCTGGAGAAAAGTATGTGTATAAAGACAGAGACTTGCAAGAAGCTCAAGAGGAGGGCCCTGACAGGTCCCCTGAGACCAAGAAATGGAGCCAAGGTGTTCTCTAGGTCTCCATCACAGGACTGCACCCCAACAGCGCAGTTGTCCTCCTGCCAGCCCTGACCCACTGGCTCACTCCTGCTGACCTAGCAGACAAAAGGAGCTCCCCAGCGAGTCGCCAGCACCCTGGTTGTTGAGCCCCCAGTCCTCTCAGGTACCACCAAATCTGGCTCTGATTTAAGCAAGACTCCAACAGGAATGTGGAAGGCCCAGTGGTCCAGGCAGCGGGCCACCAAGGGAAACCTGCCACCAGGCATGATTCAGAGACTTGTGCTGTGACTTCCCCTTGGGCCAGGCTCAGGGCTCATTCTCACCTGTACGGCATCTCAGATAGGCCTCGTGCTGACCGGCATGGCAGCGGGGCGAAGTAATTTGTCCAGGCTTACCCCCTGAAAGTAAGGAAGGAGAGTCAGATGTGACTGGCCCCAAAGTCCGCAATCATCCCGACACGCCCCATTGTCAGGGAGGCTCTGTGTGGTGTTAGACACCCGCCTTCTCCTGAGAAGTTTCCCATATCCTTCCCATTTGGAGAAAAGGGGACACTGGGCGAATTGGTAGGGAGTGGGCTTAAACGGCATGGTATGAGCACATGGCTTCTTCCACTCTTGGTGCACTCTCTCACACCTCCCCGAGTTTATCACTGCGTGGACGAGGGAGAATTGCCCCAGTTACTGCTGGTATTTATGACATGCAAGGCACCGTGTCAGGGAAGAGGCCAGTCAGACATGGACGTGGATCCACCCTGAGCCACACCGGAAGGACCTGCTTGGGGAGGGTAGGCTGGGCGGTGGATCTACTCAATACAAGACCCCTCACACCTGAGACTGTACTAGGCACTGTGGCAGCAAAGGGTTCTGTGGCAGAGCCTGGGAAGACCAGCATCGGATGAGCTGCACGTGACCATTTGCAGGAACGTCCAGAAGGGTCAATAAGTCACCGAGTTTCGTCACTCTCCCGGGGGGGGGGGGGGGGGGGTAGGACCTGGGGCCTGCTGATGTAATTGTGTCCTAATTCACTTCTTCCCTCTGCAGTGGGGTGGCCATCATTGGTCTCCAGCAGCAACCTTTTGGGAAAGAAGACGCCGATGTTCATTAGAAAAGAATCCCTAGGAAGGGCGAGGAGATAGAAGATACCTGGGATCCAGAGAGGCTGCTTCTGGCAAAGGTGTGTGTGTGCTAGGCTCTGAGGGAGGGAAAGCTTTGGAGGTGGGGACCCAGGTAGGAGAAAGGTCTTCAGAAAAGCCAGAGCCGGCATTGAGGGCAGCGAGTGTGAATAGTACATGCCCAATTTAGCCGAGGCTGCTTAGCATGCTCAAGAGGGAGACCTGACCTGTCAGGTTGGAGAAGGAGGCTGGATTCGTTCTTCTCACTGTGTGGGTATGATCCGCAGAATGAAGTCTCTGCAAGGGAGTCCCCGTTTACAGACACCTGCCTACTGACCGCATGGTCCACTGGATTCAGAAATATAGAGAAGCTGGGGGACCAGCAGTTAGCGTAATGGCTATGTCGCTGGACTCTCACGTAGTCGACCGCGTCGACTAGTCACGTCCTGGACCCGGTGGCTTAAAACTCACACATGCCAGGCGCGTGTGCATGCATGCCAAAGATCCCGAGAGGAAAATGGAGGAGAAGGGATTGCGGTGTAGGCATC